TTGACAGCTCTCCTGGTGGCTCCCGGCGTGTGAACGCACCATGGTTCCCAGGCCTGCAACGTCTGTTGTCGGGTCGCCGTGGAACTGTCGTGGAGGGAGGATGCTCTCCTTCAGGCAGGAGGAGCGACCAAGAGTTAACCAGAAATAGGTCAACACCTGTGGGTCTGACCGCTGAGCGGTCCCACTTAGAGGATGGGTCTCCCTCAGGAGATAGTGTGCACAATTCAAGATTCACGTGCTGCATCTACCACAGTTCTGTACACATCAAGGGGATGGCTTTTCAGCGCTGGTGTACAGAGAAGGTTTAGAGGCCACCTCATGCCTTTTAGGCGGCGTGTTGTTTTTCTACAACAGCTGATGGATAGGGAGTTGGTTTTCAGTACGCTTTAACGTACGTTGCAGTCATCTATTCCTGCCACGAAGGTTTCGGGGACAGAACAGCTTTTAATCACCCGCTGATGAAGCGTTTTTCTAAAAGATGTTCAGAGACACAGGCCTGCTTCACGTCCACTTGCTCCACAGTGGGATTTAACGCTGGTCCTGCGAGCCCTGATCAAAGCTCCAATTGAGCCTCTGGATCAGGTTTCATTTAAATTCTTGTCTCTTTAAACAGCCCTGCTGCTGGTTTTAACACCCACTAAGAGGGTAAGTAATTATCTGCCCTCTCTGTTGCTTCGTCATGCCTTAGAATTTAGGCTGACGGGCAGCTCAGCTGATTTAAGACCAACCCAGCTTTTATGCCTAAAACATCACGAGCTCTTTTAAATCAAGAGTGATATCGTTGGAGGGGTCTTTTCCCCCCCACAGATCAGAAGAGGAAGCATCTTTTCATCTTCTCTGTCCGGTGCGGGCGTTGACATGTTACATAACGCGCACAGCTGCAATGCGTTTCAAACTCAACAATTGTTTGTGCATTATAGAGATGCTTCTGCAGGTCGCCGTTATCCATCCAGCGCTTGTCACACTGGCTGTGTGAGGCCTTTTCTGAAGCCTACAGAGCATCAGATTTAGAGCCTCCTGTCAACCTCTAAGCACACTCGACCAGGGGTATCGCATCTTCGACTGCTCTGCATAATGGTATGTCAATGCAGGACATTTGCACTGCGGCTGCATGGTCAACACCCTGCTCATTTATTCGCTTTTACCTACGTGATGTAACGGCTCGTTCCATGACACATTCTGTCCTTAGTGCTCTAACAGAATGAATATTATTGTTCTCATGGAACTCTGTTTAAGCTCACTTCTGTCTGCATGCATTACAGTGTGAGATGTTGTTATCAGTCACAAGTCGTGTCTGTGATTTTGGTTTTATTGTCACTAATCAGTTCATGACTATTGTTACCAATCGGTTCATTTGATCAATAATCAATTCATGGACATTAATCTGTTTATACTGTTCAGCCATGAACCAGTTGGTTCATGCCCCCCCCCCCCTCTTTTCAACTTCTTCTTCCCGTTGAAAGTTTTCCGGGGCATTCATGCTTGTCAGAACGCATAGTTACTCAACATGCGTCTGTGCATGGCACATAATTACGCGATGCGTAGTTATGCACACGGGGAGTTGAGTGACAAGACGTTTTTTGGGCAAGCTTCCGCTTCTTACTGTGTTCGAATGGACCCAGTGAGGCGAGGACCACATCCGCTTCGCCCTTAACCCATCAGCGACAGCCTTAAAGGGCGAAGCCTATATGAAATAGAACGTTGGTTACGTACTGTAACCCCAGATTCTATGAATATAGGCGTAGCCCTTTAAGCGTCGGGCCTCACTGGCTCCTAAATGGCTGAAGAAAAAAGCTATTTTGGGAGCCGATTTCCCGCTCTTAACGTAATTTATACGGACCGGGTGGGGCCCACACAGCAGGTGGGCGTGGACTAAATTTTTTCAGTGCTTATGCTCTGCATAACGGGATAAACCCATCAGCGACAGCCTTAAAGGGCTACGCCTATATTCATAGAATCTGGGGTTACAGTACGTAACCAACGATTTCTGACGTGGGGCAAGGTTGTCTGGAACTCAAAAACGAACAAAGTCAGAGTCTAGGACACCCACCACCACCTCAGAAGGATTTTGCTGTACCTCCTGCACTTAATCCCCTTCTGCCACCTCCACGTGAGTCTAGTGACTCACCTCCATGTGCTATTTTGGTTCCTACAACACCAATCACTCAGCCTCTGCTCTCGATTTCAGATTTGCACAAAATTGCAAAATATGTGCAACGCTTTGAGCCAGGGCCGTTGGGTTCAACCAACACTAAGGCCTATCTGAACAACCTTGACTTCCAATTAAGAAGCTATCCCAACGCTACAGTTGAGGATAAAGTAGGTTTGATCAGGCTCACTTCAACCAGGACGGTGTTTTTCTTCATAGAGCGTCAACCTGACGCAATAAGAAAGGATTACCGCCTGTTATGTGCTGCTCTTATGAAAGAGTATTCCCTTTGCGCGGGACCTGGCGGTTATCCAGCCGCCGACAAGGTCATGCAAGGTAAGAATGAGCACCCCAGGGCATATTATTCCAGGATTTTGCAGGCTAATTTTGGTTACAGGAACGACACCGGCATGGAGGAGGAGGAAACGTTTAAGTTCGTTTTCAGCAAAAATCTCCACCCTGACATAAGAATGTCAGTGCAAATGATGGCTAATTTCAAAGAGAAATCCATCAGTGAGATAAAAAGTTGTGCTGTGAATGTCTTTGAAG